ACTCCTTACAATAAAATAGGTTTGGAGACGATTTCATTAGGAAAAATACTGCAAATATTTCTAAAGTATCACCAGGGAAACAACGGATTACTTTAAGTTTCATGTGTAGCAATTAAAATTTGACAGACCAAGTCCAGTTTAATAAAAATCACAGCTAAGATGTTCTGGGATGTTCAGAGAGCTTTGAAAGATTTCAATGTAAAGATGTAACAAAATAAAGAACCACAGGTCAACATTTATTAATGCATTAAAAAGATCTTGGGTATAATTTTGTTGTAAATATAAATGTTTATTTCCATGCTGTGTTGTTCTTCCAGGCTCATCTACTTTGGAGGATACGGCCATAAAGTTCTGGCTGATATCACCAGCAGGAGCCGAAACTTCATCCCGGATGAAACATCCTGGGTAATTTATCTGCTAACCAGCTGGAACTAACTCAGTACTTTTTAACATCTTTAAGATAATCGTTCTGTTTGCAGGTGGATGATTTGTTTTGGGGATGGAACAATGAAGTTCATGTATTTGACCCGGTTAAAGGCAGCTGGGCTGAACCCCAGACTCATGTAAGCGCATCATGAACAACTCGCTGCCCTGCGGTCCGAGACATTTTCAGACCAGAACCGTTCTGTTTCCTCCTGCAGGGCCGGCCTCCCGCTCCCAGAGCCGCCCACGCCGGCGCCACGCTGGGGCGCAGAGGATACGTCTGTGGAGGCCGAGTCATGGTGAGGGAACCGCTAATCTACGGCTGATAGACATTCAGAAACACTAAAAAACCTACAACTTTTTATCCTTAGTGTCTGAATCGCATTAAACGTTTCATGTTTTACACCAGGAAGGATCATCAAAGTGATTTCTTTTTGCTTTTTGATGCTGCTGTAAACTTCCTACTAAATCAGAACCTTACGTCCGTTTCTTCAGTATTTGGCAGATTTGCTTCTCACAACAGATTGATGAATGTTTTCCTTCTGACAGAACCAGAGAAACTGGGTCAGGATTCTAATGTTTAATCATAAATGCTAGTTTAGCTAATGCTAATGCACTACACTAACACAGCATTTAGCAGAAACTAATGCTAAAGTGCTTAGCTCATTTTCTTTCTGTATGTTTGTTGTTTGTCATAAAGTTATTGGGAAAGAACAAAGACGAGAGAAAATGAAACTGATGTGTCAACAGACTTCACTCGTCAAAATAAGAGCATGAATGTAAATGTCTGACTACTTGAAGAATTCGTCACACTTGATAACCAAAACTTGAACTTTATCCAGCTGGAAGTTTTCAAAACACCTAAGTGAATTAGCACTTTAAAATTTGCCAGGAAAAATTAATGTAGTGGAAGCTAAATGCGGTAAACATTTTCAAAGTTAGCAAAAACACTCAAGTGCTAAGAGAAAAATTAGCTCTGCTGTGGATTAGCGGAAGCGTGCCCAAACTGCTGGCCTGATAGACAGTAAAAAAACGTTTATCTTTTCATACAGTGCATGTAAATATCTGTGCATTAATAGCCTGATGTAGGACAACTGGATGCTAGCTGCTTTGCTCCTTTTTACTCACAGGAAACCAGGACGAATGATCTTCACTGCCTAGACCTCGAATCCTGGACTTGGACTGAAATGTCAGTAAACAAACACAGAATGCTCCAATCACATTCAGTCGTCATGACCGACCAGACGTTAGCTGAAAACGTTCAGAATCATGCAGACGGTTACTGTGACTCGTATGCAGAGTTCCTTCATCCGCGGCTCCGGTGGGCAGATCCTGGCATACGGTCACGGCTGTGTCAGAGTCCACCATGTTCCTGTTCGGAGGCCTCAGTGTCGACTGCAGACCGATGAGTGAGCAAATATACCTGCATTCATCCGATTAGCATCCAGCTCATGTTTTTTAGTTCAGATCTCTTCATCTTCACATACTTTCCACTTCAGGTGACGGCTGGCTGTTTGACGTAGAAACTAAGAAGTGGAGGGAGTTTGAGCATCCCTACCAGGACAAGCCCAGGTACCAGACTGACCTTAAAGGTCAGGAGAGGAAAACGAACCGTCGGGATAAAATCCTGAAAGCTTTTTACAGAAAACATTTTGATTTTCTCTGCGGCTCGCAGCAAATCTCAGCTCAGCTTGAAGGGGTTTGTTTATGTGGAGAGCAGTTTCATTCAAAATTAAATTAAAAGATAAAATCAGTTTTTTAATTAATAAAACATAAAAATAATTAATTTTGGGAAGTGCCTTCAGATATTTGCTGTGAACTGGTGCACTATATAAGTAAAATAGAATTTAATAAAATTAGTAAATAAAATGTGTAATTGTGCCCATGAATAAAAACAAAATACATAATAAAAATATTTTTAATAGGGAGCTTATTTTTTCAGTCTCAGTTTTAGTATTTATTAAGTTTTTCAGGATCCCCAGCCCTCATGAAATAGTACTTATATTAATAAGTCAGTAAAATATGCAAAGTAGCTCTACAAAATAAAACACCATTATGAAATAAATGATGATATGAATACATAGATTAAATATAAATAAACAAATCTTTAAAAAAAACGGATTAACAAAATTTAAAAAATATATTTATTTAGGTTTTTTTTTTCATGGGGGACATTTATTTACTTGATTGAGTATTTAATAATTAATTATTTAGTGTATTTTTTATTTAATTGTAAGCTAAACTGCTCTGTCAGGGTAAATATGCAGCCAGAAAGTTTCTCTCATAGACATCCAACCACTGAATTTATATATTTGAGCATGTATGTATATTTTTGACCCTGTCTGATGAGAGAAGCTCCAGTCTGAGTTAAATCGTGTTCACCCAGTTTTATTTTAGACATGAATTGTGTTTCCTGTGTCAGGTTGTGGCACACAGCCTGCGGCGGCAGAGACTCAGACGTGGTTGTGTTTGGTGGAAGCTGCGACTACATCCTGCTAGTTGACACGGTGAGCGTCTCCTGCTAACGTTACATCAGACTGAGCAGCACTGACTGTATCAAGATACAGTAAAGTGGAAAAAGAAATAATTATAATAATCTTGTGTAACTATATTCTTCAGGGACATTGCAACGACGCTCTTGTTTTCCAGATGCAGCCACATCCTTTGTTCAGGTAACAAACTTCACCTCATGAAGCTGAAGAGGAAACAGGAAAACTAACTAACTAACTAACTAACTAACTAACTAACTAACTAACTAACTAACTAACTAACTAACTAACTAACTGTTTATCCTTCTGTGTCACATGTTTTTTCCTCTGAATAACGACGGTTTTAATGCCGGAAACTTCAGTTTGGAATTAGAAAACTTTGGTCATGTTAAATCGGACATTCTCTCTCGATGTGGAAATGTAATTTTTTGACATTTTTTGTCCCCGACAGGATCTGTGAGGATTACATTGCTAAGAATGTGAGGACCTTGGAGAGGCTGAGAAAGCAGCTTCCTCTTCTTCCTCCCAAGATGCAAAAGGCTCTGCAGAGGAGGATTTCTTTCTACCGGCCCTCAAAGAAGCAGAGCAACAATTAAACCTTCAAAAAATGCCAAAACATCACAATGTCATATACGGCGACTAGTTTAAATTAAAAGACACACTGTGCAGATATATTTATGGGGTTTTATTTGATTATTTTACAGATATACATTTGATTTTGTACAGCGTTTGTGTCCAAACAGTCATGTTCTGTTTATGTGATGGCAGTTTATTAAATAAGATGTTTGAAAATCATTTCATAGAGATTATTCACACACAGCCTGATGTTTCTTTAGGTTTTTTATTTTATTTTATTTTGCATGAAAAAAGAAAAACTACATTTTTTGTTTGACTCGTGCAGCTCCATGTTGAACCACCGAGTGGCAGCAGCTTCTCATGTTTGGCTGAAATGTGGAGCAGAAATGCAGCTGTGAAGGCTGCAAATCGTTCTGGTGCCACAGTCCGTCTGAAAAAGTGCAGGAACGGGTCGGGGAAATATGGAAGCAAATATTTCCTTTCCTAGAGCAGCCAGGACAGTTTAAAGTCCAGCATTGCACCCAAAAACTTTATCTGACTAAATAAAGTCTTAAGAGGGGCCTGTTCTCTGCGGTCACTCATTTCCTGGTTTAAAAGAAAGTTTCTGAACCATAGGAAACAAACACGCAGGCTCTGAGGGAGCCTGCTGGGAGTAATGGGATGACATGACGAACCAGGGAGGTCTGCGTCTGTTCACACTGCGCCTCCTAGCATCAGGCCAAGTCTCTGCTGCAATTACAGGCTTCAAGCTGTTAAATAAGGCCGCCAGAGCCAGAGGGTCAGGTTACATGGACCCAATACCGTTATCTAAAACTGTAGATGGTTGTCTTTACTTCTGCTGACCAGTCAGCTGAACTCCTGTTCAATAGTGTCCATCAGCTCTTCTTCTGAGCCGTCGTACAGGATGACGGGCATGGCGGCGGAGGCGCCAGACGTCCTGCAGGAAGTGGATTAAAAGGTGATTAAAAGCGAAACGTTATTGTGAAACAGGACCAGTTGTCAGGTTAATGGCCTCCCGCTGGTGTCCTGGTCCCTTTACGGTGAATTTGATCTGGTCACCGCTTGTTTCATCCTCCACTGAGCTCTGATATGAATGATTAATGAGAGCCGTCCACTTACTGCTGTTTATCAAACCCCGGCGCGCTTTCCAAGAATGTTCCTCCTGCTGAGAACTTCTGGGTCGCCGGCTTAGAGGACAAACGAGACAAAACAGCGACTGAAGCAGATTAATGTAAAACTTTTATCATACCCTGAATACTTGAAGACAATATTCAAGTTGTTTAACTGATGACAAACCAACACAGAGTAGCTCATACATTTATCTTAAAGTGTAACTAAACTTTAGCCAATAGGAAAATTTGACTGCAGTAGCCACTGTTCAACCTACAGGGGGCAGCACAGAGACGGGTTTAGGCCAAATGCTGCAAAATGAAACATTTACATAAAAATGTCAATTTACACATGAACATAAAGCTAGCAGTTTAAAGACCAATTTATACAGCTGACTAACTAACCAACAAATTAAATAAACAACTAACTAACTAACTAACCAACAAATTAAATAAACAACTAACTAACTAACTAACCAATCATTAGTTAATTTAGTTTAGTTAATTTAGTTTAGTTAGTCATTACATCTTTAAGAGACTGATTCAAGATTTTAAAAGTAAATTAAAAATGCATTTGTATTCATCCATATTTACACTAATTTACACTAATACCCCAAAATAAAACAAACCAGTTCAGATGTCACTAGTTAGTTACTTTTAGTTTGAAGCTAAACATTTAACTTGCTAATTAAATATTAAGTTTTTTCTTACTGAGCAAGCAAAAATATTTAGTTTGGAATTAAACAATTAGCTTGGTAACTAAATATTTGGCTAGCTAACTAAATAAATATTTAATATGGATCTAAATATTAGTGTGTAAACTAAATATTGCGCTTGCTAACTAAGTATTTGTTTCCCTTTACTTAGAAAGCAAAGATGTTTAATTTGGAGCTGTAATTAGCTGCTATTTAGATATTTAAATTGCTAATCAAATGTTGTGTTTCCCTTTAATTAAAATGCAAAATATTTTTCAATAGTGAAATATTTCGTACCAACCTGAAAAAGTAGCTAATTAAATATTTAGTTTTGAATTGTGGCATAAATGAATTAAAATGAAAAGTAAACCTCCACCTTGTTGTCTAACTCAACTCGCTCTGTTAATTCAGGCTAATTCTGACTTTAACTGACCTGAATAATAATTAATCTCTTTAACTTTATAAAACTGTTTCCTGTGTGACTGTCGGAGAACTTCAGTCTTACATGACGCTGAGTGGAGCCTGCAGGTTTGACTTGCGTCCTGTGCGTAAACACGCAGTCGCTCCTCTTGTTTACATCCACGCTCCATGGGACACGTGGCTCCTCCAGCTGTGGCGGACAGCTCGGCTCGTCCTCCGTGTCCCCCCCGCTGAAGGGACACAGTCCATATGTCCTGGACCTGGTGAACGTTCTCCTTGGCGGGGTTTTCCTGACAGGAGCCCCCCGTCTGTCCGTGTCATCGTCAGAGTGGGGCCCCTCGCCGCGGCTCTCCGGCTGCGCGCAGTGAACCTTGTGTTGGCTGAACGGCCCTCCGGCCTGCGGGGATGGATGGACACCAGCTCCTCCTGCCTTGGACAGCCTCACCTCGCTGACACACGCAGGTGTAACTTTCTTCCCTCTGCTGCTTCCGCTTCCCATCGCTTCTAAAAACCAACTCCTGTTTCCGAGTTTTCCCTCAGGCAGCGCATTCCCCACCCAGGCCGCGCTGGAAACTTAGCGGGTTAAAGACGGAGATCCGCCGGAGCAGATGTGGCTGAGGACATTCCTGCAGACGCACAGCTGGAAGCGTCCCCGCATGTCCACAGGACCAGCTCAGAGCCGCAGCCTGAACTTTCCAACAGCCATCAGGATGGGAAGCAGCGGATCTGTTACATAACGCGGCGGGGCCAGAACCCCAGGGAGAAAACCCCGCCTTCTGCCGGGGAACGCACACCCTCTGCGAGTCAGACGGAACAAAGAAACACTTTCCACTTTAGAACCAGCATGTCTCACTTTAAACCAAAAGAGAAAAAAATCTGATTTCAGTCGCTTGTAAAAGTATTTATTAAACTTTTCCTGAAAAATATTTTTATTGGGATTTTATGTGGAAGTGGAAGAAAACTAATTTTTTCTACATTCTGAAAATGTTTGAGTTGGTATTAATCCCACCTGAGTCCAGGTCTGTTAAACATCTACAGATGTTTTCTCCATTCTTTGTATCAGAGCTCAGACAGGCTGGATGGAGAGCATCAGTTTTCAAGTCACAGACGTTACTCTGGATTTAGGTCTGGACTTTGAATAGGCCATCTAACAACGGATCTGATCTAAGCCATCCATAATATCTCCAGCTGGATGTTTAGAGTTGTTGTCTTGTTGGAAAGTGCTGCAGGATGATGCTGCCACCACTATGTGTTCAGGACGAGGTTGAGGGTTATTTTTCCACCAAATGATTTTGTTTTCCCCTTTAAAATCAGTTTTTGTCTTTTATCTTCATTGTCTTGTTGTCTTGACAAGCATTTCCAACCTACTTTTCCTTCTTATGGATATATTTTTCCAGGATTTTGAGGTAAATGTGAGTGAATTCTGCAGATGAAAACTTTTACACTTCAGCTTCCCAGACATTGTTTTGGAAACTTTTTAAAGACTTAAAGACAAATCTGTCTAAAAGAACAGAGAGAAAGAAAAAAAAAGCAGTTTGCAACGTTTCAGTAAGCGTGTGAGTGTGGTCATATGCTGCGTGGCAGACAGCTGGACAGCCGGCTCTCTCTGGAGGATGACCAACTCAGAGGCACCTGTTGTTGAAGCGAACGCTGTGAATGTCTCCCAGATGTTTCACTGTGGAGTTTCCTACCATTACTACTGGATTTAAAGGAAAAATGGAGAAAACTAAACACCAGAAAACATTTAGAGCTGCTGCATTTCAACGCTGTCCAGCTTTCTTTGCAACTCCGTCACAAAGACTCCCAGCATGCACCAGGGTGTCATTAAGGAAACCAGACTCCCACATCTGGAAGAAAACTCCAACAGCTTCCAGACGAGGGGAGGATCCATGTGCTGCAGCCCCGGCCGGCCGGCACATAGCTGTGGTTTCTCTGACTCAGGAACTTTCCTCCAGCGGGAACCGATCCTGGAAGTCTGGACGGATTTTACAGACTCCACCCAGCAGTCAGCCTGAAAAACATCTTTAATGATCCTGCTCTGGATCAAGCCTTCTTCTTGTTGACAAATCTGTACTATTATAAAACCAATAGAAAAAAAAGGTTATGAGGCAGTTTTTGTACATTTTGTGATGTTTGAGCCAAACTTCAGAAGGTTTTACTGGGATTTTATGAACTAGATCAACACAAAGAGCAGAATAACTTATAATTTTTAATATAATAAAATCCATAAAGTGCTGCATGTCTTAACTCTGACACCCCCAAATTAAATATCAAATCTGAAACTGAAAGGAGCACAGGGTTTCCAAAGTGTGGCCTGGGGGCCATTTATGGACCTTGGCCTGGTGTGGTGGGGCCCACAGTGCAAGATTGATACAAATTCAGAGATTAATATAAATGTAATCATCTGGACAGATAATCTGGACACATAAAGTAATTCCAGAGAGGTTGCCAAGGCAACCGTCTGCAAAGCCAAAGCAGCTGACCTGCAGTAAAAGAAAGATGGCCGCCTCCATCCATCTTTGAGTCGTTCTTCTGGATCCGCTACGTTACAGAACGTTGACGTTCTGTCTACGGTAACAAGATGGCGGTTCGGCCTGAAGAGGAAGTCGCCCTCCTTCCTCTCTCGCCTGCTGTCCGCTCTTCCTCACACACAGTGAACACAAAACAAACATGGTGGACAAAATCACGACTGGTGAAACTTCAAACTTCTAATTAATAATCATGACTTCCTGTTTCAAACACCCAAATGAATAAACTCAAATTAAAGGTTGTATTTTTAACTTCTGTGTGAGTTATGCTTCTGTAATATATATAAAAATTAGATTTTATTTCAGGGATTTTTCAGCAGTGTTGATGTTTTTCTGACAGCATGAAGGAGGAGATATTCATTTTATTCCTGATTCTGATTGTAAAATCCATGTAATTATTATTACAACCAGCAGATGGCGCTACCACTCAAGGAAATCCCTACATTTCTTCTACAGAGGTTTCTGGT